ACAGAAGAGAGAAATCTGAGGAAAGAAGAGCAACAATCTGTTTCCAAGTTTGGAGGATAAAAACACTGTTTGATGCTGTTAACAAGTGAAAATGAAACGTGAACTCACCTACACACTGATTTTTTTTTCAGTCCAAAAAGGCTGGAAACCACTGATTTAATCTGACTTTAGCAGTGTTTTGTATTCAAAAGCTTGTTATGTTGTCAACCTTTAAAATTCTTATCTTTGGCGTATCTCAAGCTGTCGGATAAATGTTGGCTACTGATACCAGAGTGCTGAGGTCACACACCACATGGGTGCCTCTACCCTGATCACCAAGTATTCAGTACAAATTCTTGCCAGCTGGACAATTTGCCACTGTAATTTCCGTCTCTTTCTACTACCGCTTGGAGATATTAGTTTTCATTGATTTGCTTAAATGTAGTTAAATGAAATGATTGAGAATTACATGGCACATAAAATCATCAGATGTCATTAGGGAAATCTATGAACCGCTTTATTCACAAACTACTTCCTCCCGGATGATCATGCATCTGAGTCAAGTCTCTCTGAAGAAGTTTCAACAGCAAATTGAATTATAACTTTCATGACTGTTGAATTAACTGCCTTAATATTAACCAGCTGTGCCTCAGGGATCGGCTGAAAAGGGATCCGACAGAACAAAGTGAACATGTGATCCAGGAGGTGGCAGTGTTGTCTAGCACATAGAATCAAGGCCCCAAACCCCACAGAGCTGCTGCTGAAACGTTGCCGCCACCTCAACTGGAGATATTTCAGCAGCACTTTAATGTCTTAATGAATTTATGTTGCTCTTGTTGGGCTTGTTTTGTCTGTTTTACTGACATATTCAAAAAAAAAAAAAAAGAAAGAAAGAAAGAATGTGCAAGTCGTGCTTTAGTTGGGGGTAATGTGACATATATTATGATTTGTCTTTAATTTTTGTGGTTCATTCATCCATTTGAAAAAAGAAAAAGTACCACCACAAAGATATATTTTCTATTTGTTGTTGTTCAGAGTGATCTGGCATTAAATAATCCCTGTTAAGTGAAAAAAAAATGCTACTTTTACATAAATCAAGAAAGAC